ACATCATGTTCTTCCCAGGGGTATTTTTGTAGACAATGCTTATTTAATTTTGATTTCAGAATTGTTTTGTGGTATATCTCATTCTGATATATGGTTGTTTAAAATTCATGTCAATGTCTATGTAATTTAAAAATGAATTGATGACATTTAGAAACAGAAGAACCTTAAAGGAAAAGAAGAACTAATGGTGAGAGAAAAGAAAAGAGGGCACATTGATATTAGTCATCTGCACATGAAATATCAGTTGTCGACCGGGTGTAGTAGCTCACGCCTGTAATCCCAGCATTTTGGGAGGCCGAGGTGGGAGAATCACCTGAGGTGGGGAGTTCCAGACTAGCCTGACCAACATGGAGAAACCCCGTCTCTACTAAAAATACAAAATTAGCCGGGTGTGGTGGCACATGCCTGTAATCCCAGCTACTCGGGAGGCTGAGGCAGGAGAATCGCTTGAACCCAGGAGGCAGAGGTTGCAGTGAGCTGAGATTGTGCCACTGCACTCCAGCCTGGGCAACAAGAGCGAAACCCCATCTGGAAAAAAAAAAAAAAAAGAAATATCAGTTGTCTTTTCTGGGTGCATTTCTCTGCCGAATCATGAATCAGCAGCACTCATGGTGCAAAGGGCACTGAACATGGAGTTCCTGGCAACACCATCAATGGTTGTGGCTTTCAAGGTCCTGCTCTGCTGGTGGCTATTTGACTTTAGCCAAGTCACAGGTCTTGTTGGGGTTCCATTTCTTCATCTGTAAAATGGGCAAAGATTCCCTCCAACTCAAAAATTTTATGATCTGTGATGTGATTTATATGACTAAATTCTCTGCCTGGGAATAACTATACTAGCGACAGAACTGAGCTTTTCTATGGTGAAGGGTGGCTTGCCTTCACCTATTTCCAGTGAACCCTGGCTGTCCTCCTTGGTAACTCCCAGATGGTGACTTGCGATTAATCAGCCCTGCCTCCTTGTCTATAAAGTGCTCTCTGGTGTGTTCCGTCCTCCGCTTTCCCCAGTATTCTATGTAGTATTTACATCTTTCAGAAGTTAACTTCTTTAAGAAAAACTTACCAGAAAAAAAAAAAAAAAGACAGAAGAACTCACAGATGAAGAGGCTTACAAGGTATCTCAACCAATCACCGTGTGTTAACCTTATTTGGATCCTGATTCGAACAAGTTGATTGTAAATAAAACTTGTGACATGTACGAGACAATTGGAAGTTTGAACACTCGGTAGATGTTGGATCTTAATTTATTGGTCATTATTTTAGGTGTCATAACGGTATGAGAGCTACATTTTTAAAAGAGTCTTTGTCTTTTAGGGCCACATACTGAAATATTTGCAGATGAAATGATGTGATTCTGGTGGGCAGCCAGTGAGCGGGGATACAGAGGAAGCACGTTTGACCCTGAATTGATAATCACTGGAGCAGAAGGACGGGGACACGGGGGGGTGAGTGATACTACTGGGTCTGTTTTTGTGTAAGTCTGATAGGTTCCATCAAAAGAAGTGTAAAATAACCAAAAGGCTTAGCGGGGACTCATCCTTGCGGGCACGTTTGCCGAGGTGTAGGCAAATGCTGCCTCCCGCAGTTGCATAATCGCCGGGGGTAAATGTGGAAGTTCGTCAATCAGCAAGGCCGTAGTGGGGGCTGACTGGCAGCAAGCCCAGCGCTGCGTGGCTGTCATCTTGCCTCGAGGCCCATTTGCCCTCTATAAATAACCGTCTATATGAATGCTTTACTATTTTAACACACATGGGCCACAGCTGCTGAGCACGTTTGTTTACGTAGCTATGAAACCTTCTGTAAACACCACTATCTCAAAATCGCCCATGTGTCAGGAACATAAACGGCCCCCTTTAAAAATATATCTGCAGATGAGACACGGCCAACTCCTGGATGTCTGAGTGGCTGGTGTCAGAATTTTCCAGGGTTTGATTCATTTTCAAAAATAGAACCACATGACTGGAAGGTTCTTAAAGGTCACCTGGCATGTCCCTCTGACTTGAGGCGGGACCGGGCCAAAGCCATTCCTAAGGGATGCGGGGCTGTTCTGCGTGGGTGTGGGGCCATCTTTTGTGCAGTCCCTTTGAGGCCATGAAAGGGGGGCTCACTTCCAGCCTTCAAGGAGCCCACTTTCATTTTCTAAAAATGGAACCTGACCCTGCAATGCGGCTGGCGTTGGAAGGCAGTGCATCCACACAGCACCACTTGCCTGCACCGGGCCTGAGCTCCCAGCAGACGGAAGGACCCAGGTGGCCTCCTGCGGGATAACTCGGGTCTCCGGAAAACACCACGTTAGGATCATCCTGTGCCCAGGATGCCTGCTTCCTATCAGGGAAGAGGGCACCGCGTGAAGGTGGCCACGTGGGCCTCCCCCGCTCCCTGGAAGAGGCCTGCTCATGGAGACCACTGAGCACAGCAGGTTAAGGTCAACTGCGACATTTTTGAAAGAAGTGATGAGCGCAGGGGAAGCTGTTTTGTGTTAGCTTGCTATTATCACGGCTCCTGATTTCCAGTCCAGCACTACGATGAATAATTAGATCCCTGTGAATTTGTTTTCCTCGAGTGTGCATTTGGTCCACTTTTTTTTTTTTTTCCTGTGGTTTTGAGAGATTGAAGCATTTTTCTCCCCTAAGGGCCTGTTTAATGCCCATAAATCCTAATTGAGCTTTTCATTCACAAACAGTATCCTGCTGAAATGTAAGAGATCAGCTGTACTAGGAGTACTGAGTTGTACGATTCCTCTGAGGAAAAGACCAAGACACATTCAGTTTCCAGACACCTCTAGAACTTTCTAGAACCGCCAGCCCCCCAAGTCTAGGAAGTAGAAAACTATTTTTTAAAAGAAAATGAGTAGGATTTGCCTTTTTCCAGGGAGTGGGGTGAACATTTGGATTGGTTTTGCTGGTAATTACTCAGATTTCTCTTGAAAGCTGTGGAAAGGCCATAAGGTGCTCAGAGGCAAGTATCACTGTTAATTACCAAGAAAACCATGTTCCTCCCTTTGGAAAGGCTCACTTATTACCAGCTGTCATCAGAAAGACAGGGCCTGCCCCAGGGAGAATTCCAACTCAGGGATATCACAAAGATAATTTGTGTATTCCAGATTCATTTATTTTACAGAGATTGGGCTTTGGTTTGAGGGAACACAAAGCTTAACTCCCACAATTTAAAGCTCAGATTAGCATCAGTAACCACAGGGTACATCTCCAGTGGTTTTTGCTTCTTGAGCTTGGAGACACTGCCCTCTCTCACGTCCTCTTGGGGGAATTTATGGTGAAAAGCGAAAAGAAAAACTGCATCCTGAGTGGTCAGTAGATAGTGTCAGAGGCTGTAGCTCTGTGGCCGCTAGGGGGATCCAGAGTCCCTGTGCTCGGCTGAGGTTGGGGAAGTTTCTGGTCTGTAGGAAAGTGACAGCTCCCTGTTTGAATTATTTCTCCTCCCTCCTCCCCAGCCTCCCCTCCTCCTCTCTCCTCCCCTTCTCTTCCTCTCCTTTCTCCCCGCCCTGCCTTCCATTCTCCTCCCTCCTATCTCCTTCCCTCCTCCCCTTTTCCTCCTCCCCTGCCCTCCCTTCTACTTCTCCCTTCTATCTCCCTTCCTCCTCCCCTCCCCTCCACCTAACTATTGCCTCACAAATGCACCCCCAAATCAGGCTCAAAGTACAGCTCCTGTTAACACCTGGAGCACTTATGTCTTATTTCGCAACAGTGACTTTTGTTATTCTTTAAAATTACTTTCCCATTAGGTTCCTGCGCCTTTTGTTCCATGAAAAGGCGACCGCTCCCACCATTGAGCTCCACGCAAAGCCCTCTACTCACGTTTTCACTGTTTGCTGCATTTAAAAACCCTATAGCAAAAGTTTCACACCACCACCGTAAGAGAAATTTGTTAGGGGTTGTGACCTTGCCTGTTGGGTACAGGGAGGTAGAAACATGGGACCAGTGACTTTTCCCTAAAAGGGATCACAGGATTAAGTTACTTGTCACAGGTTGATGAAGAACCTGGGGCCAGCCTGCTGGTCATGCAATTTCAGACAATATAAACCACCCGAATCTCAAGCCGAAGACTTAAAAGCACAAAAGGGCTGATGGTATCAGGAAAAAGGACCCCAAAGACACCATTACTACCTCAAAGAACAATAAAGGCCTTAATGAATTAGGGTTCTGGTTTATACTTTCCCTGTGAGGCACTATGGTTATCTTGAGTCATAGCTGATGGCTCTGTTTTGGGGGATGTTACATACAAACATGGGCAGAACCTGCTTTGCTGTTGGGATGTGTAATGTGCAAATTTCAGATATGAGCGAAGACGTCAGTAAAAACAGACCATTTTCTCTATTTCCTGAACAGATCATCTTCCCTAAAACATCCCAGTGATAAGCCATTAACAAGAGGGCCGGCGGGATTAAGATGAATGGATCTTCAACTTTTTTCTTTTCTGCTAGAGTTATTTACTTGTCTGCAACTTTATACTTACTGGGGGCTCGGCAGGTCAAGTGTGGAGAGGATACTAGGCACTCACTTCATACAAAAGAGAAACCAATACTATAGGCCTTATAAATGACTCTCAAAGAATGGGTGAAATTGCATTTTTATTAAAGCAGTTTGTCAGGCTTCCTTTGAAAGACTTAACTTCTTCCTCCTAACTTGGTAATAAATAACCTCAAGTATTCAAATTAGCAATGTTTTAAGGCCATTTAAAACGTGCTTTAGAGACAGATCAGATTTTAACTTAGGTAAATATTTGGAGACTTAAAATATGTTACATGGTGATTTTTCATTGTTCATTAATTTATTTTCCAAAGGGCTTTTAAAAACTAAATGGTTAGGCTTCTTGGCGGATATACTTCAGGAGAGACACGTAGGCATACTATGTCATGAAGCAAGGGGATGTTGTCAATATTGCATGAGGTTTAGTATTCTAGATCTTGTAATAGATAAGAACATCAGGTCCAGTTTAAAATGAGCATCTATCCCACAGCCATTCCAGGATAGAACACATCTTACCTGTGGCTTCCACCATTCCTTCTAGGATGACCACAATTTCCAGTTCCTCTTTGGGCAGCTGGGCTTTGGAGATCTCCCAGAAAGGACTCTGTTGATTAATTTCATGGCTAATGATCAGCGGTGACACCAGAAACAGACGGTCATCCCCCGTGTAATACCCTACGTTGATATCCGTCTGATTCAACGGGATGAACTCCCCCTCCGAGGTCTGTTTGGATTTGATCAACTTGGCTCTGATGGAAGCCTCCACAATGTGGGAATTCCTAAGGTCCCCTACCCGGAACATCAGGCACAGTTTCCCATCCCGCATGGAGATCACCGCATGGGTGGAAAAGACCAGGGTCTCTGCCCTCTTCTTGGGTTGAGAGATTTTTACAAACATGCATCCCACCATGAATGCATTGACAATGGACCCCAACACAGATTGGATTAAGAGGAGAATAATTCCCTCTGGGCATTTATCCGTGATGACCCGGTAGCCATAACCAATGGTGGTTTCTGTCTCTATTGAGAATAAAAAAGCAGAGACGAACCCGTTGAGGTTGGTAACACAAGGAGTCCAGGAGGGGTCCTCTATGTGGTCCATATCTCCCCGGATGTACGCGATCAACCACCAGATCATTCCAAAAAAGAGCCAGGTCACTGTGTAAACCATGACGAAAATCAACAGGTTGAATCTCCACTTCAGGTCGACTAAGGTGGTGAAGATATCGGTCAGGTAGCGATAGGTCTCCCTCACGTTGCCATGATGAACGTTGCATTTTCCATCTTTCCTCACGTACCTCTGGATTTTCCTTTTGGTCCGGTCTCGGCTGATGTGTCTCGGCAGGTCATCCCTGGCCTGCTTAGGCAACTTTGGCTGGTGAATGGCCACTGGGCTCTCGACATCCTGATCCATGGAGTCGCCCTCCAGGACGTTAGCTGGTGGTTTGGAGAAAAGAAAAGAAACACTGAATGAAAGGCTGGCTCTTTGAGGACAATGGAACGGCACACTTTGTATGGGCTGGTGAAACCAAATACCATTTGTGTAGCTATAAACAAAGTAGACAAAGCCATTTTTATTCCACACCATCTGGATAGGCCTCTAGTTGACTTGGACTTCTGTGCTCTTCGATCTAGTTTGTGTAAGTAAGTACTTCACCATTCTGCCCACCAGGATGGAGCTTATTGCTGCAAAATTGTGTCCCTGCCAGCAGGTTCTACTGAGTCAGCTCTTACAGAGGGATGCCTCCCAACTCTGTCTGAGATGCTGTGGCATGGGAGAGACTTACAGTAAGCTCAGAATGAAGGAGTCCTCTTTAGATTCAGTCTTAGCTCTACTACTTAGCAACTCTTAGTGGGCTCTTAGCCATGATATCTGTTATGGACTGTATTGTGTCCCTACCAAATCCATATAGGGCTTGAGCCCCAACCCCTAAGGTGACTGAATTTGGAGATAAGGCCTTTAAGGAGATAGTTAAAGGTTAAATGAGACTATAAGGTTTGGGCTCCAATCTAGTAGGACTGGTGTCCTTATGAGAAGGGGAAGAGATACCAGCAGTGCACACAAACAGAGGAAAAGCCATATGAGACACAGGGAGAAGGTGGTCATCTGCAAGCCAAGGAGAGAGGGCTCCCAGAAACTAACCCTGCCAACACCTTGATCTTGGACTCCCGCCTCCAGAACAATGAGAAAATAAATGTCCGTTGTTTAAACCACCCAGTCTGTGATATTCTATTATGGCAGCCTGAACTGACTTACAACACACTATCCAAATTCATAAGCATCAGTTTCCTCATTTACAAAATGACCATGATACCCACCTCAGTGTTATAAGGTTAAACAAAACCATGTATGTGTTCTGTGCCTGCATGTAACAGACTTGCAATCAATTTCTTTTTATAATAAATTTTTCCCTTGTCACTTTCCTTATGTTTAGGGCAAGCATCTTGAACAAGCTCTTTGAAATTTGTTGGCCAAATTTCAGGGTTTAGAAAACATTTCTAGTTTTTGTTGGTAAGTATGCATGCATTGTACTTTAATGGTTGATTCAATGCCAAGGTTAAAAAAAAAAGGGTGGAGAAATGTTCTCTCTCTCTGTGCTTACAAATTTGATTTGGTTTCTGCCTCCTCTACCTTCAACATCTGTAATTTTAGCTTGTGGTTATTTTCCTTCTTTTAAAAAAGTTTTAAAATTACTATTTTAGAGATAGGGTCTCACTCTGTCACCCAGGCTGGAATGTAGTGGCACCATCATAGCTCACTGCAGTCTCGATCTCCTGGGTTCAAGTGATCCTCCCACCTCAGCCTCCTGAGTAGGCACAGGAGGCACAGGCTTATGCCACTATGCCTGGCCAATTATTTTTATTTTCATGGAGATGGGGGTCTCACTATATTGCTCAGGCTGGTCTTGAACTCCTGATCTCAAGTCATCCTTATGCTTTGGCCTCCCAAAACGCTGGAATTACAAGCATGAGGCACCATGTCTGGTTACGTTCTTTCTTATGGCTTTCATGATTAACACATTGGTTCACTCATTAGTTAATAATGCATTAGGAAAGCTCTCCTAAAACTTGAGTGCAGGGGAATTTTGGAACTGATTCTGCTGTTTAAAAGCATATAATCCACTTATGAAATTATTTATTTGGCCAGAAATACTAAAGTCTTCCGAAAGTTTGGTAAGAAATTTCTTTCTCCAGACTTAAATTCTGTGTCCTTTGACTCTGCCATGTGTTTCCTTTGTGGACATTCTGTTTTTATCTTGGTTAAAGGAGAAATTTCATCTGTCAACAAACCATCATTTATCTGAATGAGAACATAGCCAGAGATGGGATTTGAGTGCCACCAACCTAACTTATGAGTTAACTTTGCTCATGGATGATCAGTTGCCTTAAAAATCAGTCCCCTGGATCTGTTTTTATGTTTCAGCCTCAGGAAGAGACAGCATCTGTTCTGCAGAGCCTACTCTCCAGTCTGACAGCTTTGACTTTCAGATGATCGCCCTCAATAATCCTTCATTGATAATAAGAAAAGTCCTTCATTTGTAAGAAAATTTGCTTTTTTCCCTTTCTTAGAACGAATACCAGGACAGATGTTGATGGGAGGGCTGAAGGTGGGGTGGGTGTGTGGATGGAGGGAGAGGCCATGTCCTGCTCACTGGAGGTGGGGTGGGTGTATGGATGGAGGCAGAGGCCATGTCCTGCTCACTGCCACTACCCCCTACATGGCAGGGTATTCTTGTCCTTGCATGGTCAACTCCGAGCTCTCAGTGCTAATTTTTTTGTGCTGAGTGGAAGTCCCTAAATATGGCTTTATATGGAATAGTGTCTGGGCTCAAACTCTGCCTGGCTGGGGAGACCTTGTCTGCAGAGTCCTGTGAAGGCTCCAGCAGGCCTGGTGTATATCCCACGTTGGCTGCTGGGAGGCTGCCCAAATGTGCAAAGCCACCCTAAGCTCTTGTCTTTCTGAGTCCTTAAGTGGAAGAAGAGGGTTTGTCAAATTAGCTGATTCTCAAGTCTTCAGTGATACTTCATACTTTAAAACTGTTATGAAGGAAATTTATTCCTGCCTCCCCCCATCCCCAATTTGTAGGCTTTATCCTTTTTCTACTAAACTGCAAACCCCCAGCTCCAGGCAATTGTCTTGACCCCTGGAAGAACCTGTCTTGAAAGGTTAATGAATGAGTAGTGATCAGTGCTCTGGAGAAAGTCTGGGGGGGATATCTGTTGCTTCCCTAAAATCCAGTTTCTCACCAGGGCTGGACCACATTTCCCATCCTCTTTGCATTGAGGGTTGGCCATGGTGGTTGAGTCTTGGCCTATCTGGACTTGAGTGTGTCTTCCTGGGCCATTGTCCTAAATAGCGGATGTGTCCCCTCCTTATGCCTTTGCCCCTTCTGTGGGGCACAATGAAGTCAAGAGGTGAAGGAGCCTGGGTCCCAAGTCATGGGTGGAGAGCTGCTATCTGTCTAGAAACAAGGAAAGCAATGATTGTGTTTGACCCATTATATATTTTGCATCTGTTTTCAAATTGAGCCTTATCTCTAATATTATGGGCAGAAATATATGACACCTATAAGCAGAAGAGTGGTCAGGGGGAATCAGAGAAGAGGAAGCTGAAGATGAATGTTTGGGTTTAGTGTTTGGGGTTAATTAAATGCTTGTGTTTGGTATTGGGGGAAAAATGTAATGCAATCCTATTTCATTGCCTTTAAAAACCAACAAAAATTAAACACTGCATGTTCTCACTCATAGACGGGAGTTGAACAATGAGAACACCTGGACACAGGGCAGGGAACATCACACACTGGGGCCTGTTGGGGGCCAGGGGGCTGGGGGAGGGATAGCATTAAGGGAAATACCTAATGGAAACGACGAGTTGATGGGTGCAGCAAACCAACATGGCACATGTATACCTATGTAACAAACCTGCACATTGTGCACATGTACCCTAGATCTTAAAGTATAATAACAATAAAATGCAATAACAATGGGAAACACAAATTGAAAAACAAACAGAAAAAGCCAAACCTCCCTGGTAGTGTGTTTGGAAGGTGGCTCCAGTGGGTGCCTCACAGGTGAGGCTGTGGGTGCAGGCCAGGCGCATCCATGGGGAGATAGGGAGGGGAGGCTGGGCCTTGCATCATGGCAGCTGGTGGGATGAACAGGCATGGAGTTGAGAGAAACCAAAAAAGCCAAGGAAATGTGAGAGTTCTGGGAGAGAAGAGCCTGAAGGAGGAGCCCCAAGGGGCCAGGAAGGGCACAGTCAGAGAGGAGGAAGAGGGTGTGGGGCATGGGGTGGACGAGAGCGAGAGAGGGGCCAGGGCCTCGGGGCTGTGTCCAGAGTCATCACAGGGAATGGGGCTAGGGAGAGAGGATGAGTCCAGGTCTGAGCATGGAGTGGCGGCCCAGCACTCATGGGCACGCATGTGGATGTTGCAGGGTAAATATAGAAGGAAATGGTGATCACATTTTGTAACGTTTCTTTCTTTCTCGGAATCCCAGGTATGAATTTGAGTGGGGGATCTAAATCGTATCTCCAGGAGCATTTTGAGCTGCTCTGTAGGGCAAGTTGCACCTGTGGTTGGGAAAGCAGACATTTCTCCCATGTTCCTGCACAGCTGATGACACAGGCAAGTTCTTACCACCAAGGATAATGTAGAGAGGGTACACCCTCTGCTAACCGTGAAATGCTGCACAAATGTGCAAAGGGACCCAAGGAATGGCGCTGGGAACTTGGACGATTTACTTGACTTTGAGAGTAGCTTTTCAGGATTTTGGCTCCCAGTAAATGTGGGCCTGTGTGAAGGTCAGTTTTTCTCCTCCTCTCTCTTCTTTCTCTTTCTCTTTTAGAAAAATTATCAATTTACATGGAACTAGCTAAGGTACAAAATAGCCTTATATTGAAATTTAATCTGAAAGACTTAATAACAAATGACAGAGCCACAGCTGGGCGGAGCCTTGTCCTCCAAATCAGTGGGATTGTGTTGTTGCAATTCAGGTACAGCTCTTGTTGCAGGGAAGGCTGCCCTGGTGGCCCTGGTCTGTAGGAGATGTTTCTTACATTTCAAATTGTATATGAATTTTGCAGGTGAAACTTCCAGTATCCAAGAAAACATTCCAAAAGTACTTTGAGACTTTTTAATGTCATGGGGAAAACCTACTTGAGAAAAACAGGATAGACCTCAAATGTACCTGGAAAGTCAAAGATTGGAAGGAAATACACCAGATGTGAATGTTAATAGGGCAATTTTGGGTGGTGGGTTTATGGGTACTTTTAAATTTTCTAGAATAAATTTATATTACTTTTATAATTAAAAAAACAAATTGCCAAACAACACATCAAGATATCTTTTGATATCTGATTTATCTTAAATTTAAGATACCTTTAAAGTGTCTCGATGTGTTGTTTGGCAATTTAGAGTGGTCGTCGACCGACCTCC